TCAAGATCCCACGAACAAAATCTGAGGAGCCCAACCGATGCAGATGGTTCGCTAGCTTTCCCATCTGCAGAAGCATGGGGATGGCGATGACGACGACCTGCGTGGATTCTCCAATTGTTTGAATCTAATTTTATCTCCATCAGATATGATCAGTGAACAAAAACAAAATCAATCACATATTATTATTATTATTGTTATTATTATTATTGTTATCATTATTATTATTATTATCTATTATCATCTAATATATCTAATGTCAAGTCAGGATGAATCAAACCCCTGCGATTAATCAACCTCCACTGCCCCCCAAAAAAAGTAATTTAAATAATTTAAAAACAGGTGGTCCCCCTGGATTAATAAGATTAATCAACCTCCAGTGCTGAAATCCCATTTTTTTTGATCCAATTTTTTTTATGTCCAATTCTTATCAAATCCAATGAAATCTTATGGGATCCATGAGGGTTTAGCAATCAAATCTCATCAAATCCAATGGAATTCTATGAAAATCTAATTGACTTCTATAGATTCCAAGCCAGATCCAAAATTTTATGGTTCAGAAGGCGTTGATTAAGGGGGGAAACGAGGAAAGACCTTACAAGGTCCATCTGACCTCGTGGGGGGGGGTATTAATCCGGTGTTGACATTATATACTATAGATTATTATAGTTGTCCGTTTCCATGTGCATGTCATGTAGAACAACTGTTATCAATAATTATGATCTCATAAATATATACTATCCTTTCTTACATGCGTGTGAACAAGAAATCAAATGCACACGATTTTTTGCACAACGTGTATCTGCTTTGATGTCTTCCCGGGTTGCTTGCGGACGTTTGTGTCCCGCCCGTTCTCCACTGGTCCACACCTCTACCATAACGAAGTATGGAGATACCCCAGGCGGTGGTCTGAGGCAGCCCCGAGGGATCCGAGAGCGGAAACCACTACCGAGAGTTCGACAATTTGTCGTAGCTATCAGGACGAAGCTATGGCCACATTCATCCAAATTCAATAGGAAAATAATGGAAAATAACCTGCCAATTCCTTTGTTGGGCTCTTCTATGATGCTTCATGTTATAAATTTATACCCTCTGGTTATTTAACATAGCCATGGAAAATCACAATTTTTAATAGGTAAACCATCTATTTCTATGGGCCATCTATTCCACGGCTATGTTAAATTACCAGAGGGTAAAGGGGTCATCTACCCCCGACCAAGTCTCCGCACCACAGTAGCTTCTACTCGTCTGGAAAGCGGTCTGCCTGCAGATCGATTCCCGGTGACGACGAAGTTTCGTGAGTTTTTGCGGCCTCAAAATTCAAACAATGATATGGCTATGGGTCAATACCTATTAATACCATTTTTAGGGGGATGAACATCCATAAATCCCAGCGAATTTTATGTGAACTACAGGGGTACAAGGTTTTGACACACTGCCATATGTATCCCAGAAACAACAAGAAACGAGTTTGGCATGTTTGCGCAATCAATTTCAAATACTCCGTGAACTTACAGGATGAGGCAACCGATGGTCGCTGATGAATTAAAAACCGAGCCAGGCATGAAACTGTCATGGATAGATCCACTCCTCTGTTGGATACAATTTCCATCAATTTCCAATGAACTCATCAGTTTTGGTTAGGAAAACCCGGCAGATGTGTTCCTCAAGAACACCTGGCGCACAGGAACCCAGCCCGGCCTGTTTGGAATCGTTGAAACGGCCCTGTGGTTCTTGGCCTACATACCTCGGAAGCAACTCATCGACTCATCGCTGGTGGACAAAAACACCACCATGGCTCGCCATGGAGCATCCGGGTTGGATCCACCAAAATTCACTGGATTGGTTTAAGGGAAAATCTACAGGAAACCATGGTTTTTACCATCAAATATAGGGCTTAAACCTGTAAAATTTCCCATCATCCAATTCTATGAAAAATTGAATGTTGAAAAACCTCCACAACATGAACAGCGTGCATCTTCCGATACAGTATGATACAGTCCTAGAGAGTCCTGGACCTCACGATTCAGGATGCTTCAAAAGCTTCTTATGGGTCGAACATGGGTACCAATGGAGGCAGAACATCATATGCATTCGTATGCCAGGTTCCCTACACTACATTCAACATGAACAATTATCAGTAATTATCATAATATCATGTTATTTTTTGTGGTTGATCAGTTGATATCAGTTGAACATACTAAAAATTAAGGACATCTCACTTCCCCCCTGTCGGGATCATCAGCGAACTCAGCAACTCAGCAACGGGCTACTCGCGATGATGGCAATGGCGCCAGTGACCTGGCTATTTGATACCCTCTGGTAGTGACTAACATAACTATTGAACATGGATGAACATGGCCCATATGCCCATTTAGTTCGTTGATTTACCTATTAGACATGGTGATTGTCCAGTTCGCTATGTAAACGTTTACCAGAGGCTATTTTTTGGAGGTCAGAATGGTCAGCCATCATCCACCTCGGGGCCACATCAATGGGCGCCATGGCCATGGAAGATATCTCCGAGCCAATCACGTCTGCGCGATGTCTTTACGTCGTCCAAGTAGCGCTGACAGTTTCATCATCCGGGGATGAGATCTATTGGGGATTGGGCAGAAAAAATTGGACATGATACATGATCATCTCATACCATAATTTGGAGGATGGTCATCCATTTACGCACTATCCATTTGGAGCTTAAGCAGGGTGTGACTTGGACCCAGACCCATGTTGAGCAAATCCATCGCATGAAAACTCACCAAACATGGATCGGGCCGCGACCCATGAACCATGAAACTGGATCATTGCAGGGCACGTCGCTCCTGAATCTTCTCCAAGCAACACCAGAAACCGCTGGGAAACCGCCCCATCTTCTATGGGGGGGCTGTCTTCCAGTGGTATAAAATGGGGGCTTAACCACAGCGAAATCTGAACCCAAGAAGCTCCAGACTATGAACTATGAACAAAAGAACATTTGCTGGGGAGATTTGTGGATATGCTATGCCCACCATTTGATGAGTCTAGACACCTTATAGAAATGCAATTAATCGTGTACTGTAGATACACCAAAGGGACTACAGATTGGCATCTTTGCACTGTAAGTACAACCTTGTCAAATACTGTTTGTTACTGTTTGATCCCTACCCATTCTGATGTGCAACGGACACTGGAGACCGTGACAGTATCTATTCAACCTGGTAGCAGCTCGGAATTGGACACATGTTGAAAAAGCCACCACTCAGCACATAATCATCAAGAGATACGGTGGGTGGAAGAAATCCTCACCACCTTAGATGGTTGAAAGCCTATAAATAATGGGAAAAACCACTTATCAACTGGTGCGGGATTTCTTCCATCCACCGTATCAAGAGTCAATTCCAGATGACCAGCCCAGCTCATGATTGCCATGCTGCCCCCTGGTTTTCTGGCTACACTGCGCTTGCTCTTCCGGTGTCGCGGGAAGGCCTTGAATTTTCATGTCTGTAGAAGGACCTCCTTCCCTGTGACGCTCTGTGACTTGGCATGTCATGTGAGCCAAAAAAATACCCAAGAACCCACATAGTCATGACATAGCATAACTCCCTATAACTCCCTATAACTCCCTATATAATAAAATCAAAGAACCATAGGTATTTTATGGTCTTTTCTTCATGGCTCATGTGTCTTCCTTTGTGTATCTGAAACCGGATCCCACTCACTTGTCCCACTTGGACTTGACCTCAGGCAACAACTCCCTGTGGGATTTAGCATCATCCCTGTAGATGAATTGGCAACGGATGATACAATGTGGGGCTCCCCAGTGATAAGTTAGTTTATAGATACCTTACATGATACTTACAGTAAGACTTACAGTATCTTACAGTTAAATGATGTTAAACCATGTTCAACCCAACCTGATGATAGTAATCATGTACCATTCGGCAATCAAACATGGCTGGCTGGAAAATACCTGGAATAAATGGAGGTTTATAGCTTGAAAAATCATTGGGATTTTCTAGCAAACCATGTTTGATCTTCAACTCTAATATGTCTAAGCTTGGCAGAGAAGCCACTTGGAAAAGTCTGAGCCAACTCTTCTACACGCACCATTTCAAATGATTGAACACATGATTATGCCGTTATTAATTATGCCAAAACACACATGGAAACACACATATATATATATATAGTAGATATAAATATAACATAGCATACGGACCTGCCCATACTATAATCAGTCTTCATCGCGCTTCGATTCAAGTTCAATCTAGTTCAACGCATCACTACTCCAATACAGCAACTTCTACAAGTACACAAGACCCAACCCGCGGTTAAGCACTCCGACAGTCGCATCGTCTGCGTGCTTGGCGCTGCTTTTGGCCTTCATGGCGGCTCCAGAGATTTGTTGTCAACCTTCAAAACGTGACAGCGAACTGTTGAACACCGATGAAGACTGCAGCACTTGAGTTCATCTTATTGAATCTTGGCTCGTTTGGAGAAAATAAAAATGAAGTAATCTTTTTGTTGGCAGCTTTCCAGAATCAAGTCCACATTGGAAAGGATTAGCAAGTTCAACATATCTTTGTTGTTGGTGTCACTTGCCACACCTGCAAAAAAATGTTGGCTTCAAACTGCTTCAAACAGGAGGTTGGTGGTTTCAACCCATGCACAAACCATGAGAACATCATTGAAATTGAGTCGTTCCAGCCATTAGGATACATGAATCATTATGACACCAACATGCAGCAGACCTATCAGTTACAAACTGTACGGATCTGTACGGGTTGAAACCACCCACCACCGTTGCAACACGTTTCGCGCCCAAGAAAGGCTCCGACCACGTTCTTGTTCTCCTTCTCACGCCTTGTTCGATGTCATCCAGGAAGACCGATTTGGGCAACCCCCCGCCGCGGCAGCAGTTCCAGCAAAAATTGGGAACGCGGATCTGAAAACCCCCATGTATTTCATATAAATCCTATAAATTATAAAATGTAGGCATATATTTTTATTTTCGATATGCACTTATTGACTTTTTGCATCTTACTGCATTTGGTCATAGTTCGTTCATTTGTCATGGTTCGTTGTCGCTTGAGGGTGCTACATTGCTCCCAATTTTCGGGAATTGCCGTGGACACCTCGGGCCAAGCCATCTCCCTCGTGCACCAGCAGAAAGTTCTCCGCGAAAGATGGCCAGGTCCCAAATCGGATGGGGCGCCATCCCAAGTTGCTGGCGAAAAACCAACATGACCCAATTGGCCCAAGTTTGTAGGTCATTGGGTCTGCATGATGATCTGGTGCATGCACTGTGTCACTGTGTAGACTGGACTTGGTGATTTTCAAATTGAACCTGCAGGTTCTGTTCAGAACGTGACTGGTGTTGTGCTTCTCTAGATGGAAACAGTGCACCTACCTCCATGGCCCTGCAGGGCCGGGCCCAACTGTCGGGGCGGAGAATAGAATCTGAGGACCCGACTTCTTATAACAATCTCTAAGACCTTGACTGGCGTGGTCAGGAACCCTCCCAACAAAAAATCGTTGGACAATGTTGGGAAATTGGCGGTTGAAATGTTGGACTTCAATTTCAACATATTTCAACTTAAAATGACTCTAAGATGATCTAAGATGAAGTGTTCAGAAGTTGGCACCCTTAAAATCCAAAAATCAACAATGCTGAGGCCATCTCCCTGAGTTCGGCACTGGATCGTCCTTGTCCTTTCAGCTTCTCTGCAAAGATGCCTTCGGTAGTGATGCCCACCTCGAAGATGGGACACATGGAACCCCCGGTTGAACATAGCTGGGATATATATATATATATATATTACATATATATATATGTACATATATATATATAATATACGTATATATATATATACATGTATATTGTATATCATGGACATGGATGTTGATGGAGGTTCATCCTCCCAAAGGATCCTGAAATCACTATAGTCACTATATCTAGCCATCAGGGACCAACTGACCAAGGCTTCTGGACTTTGTTCAGGATGAATCTGTCCAGTCGCGAGTTCATGCGCATGCTGGGTGGCAACAAAAACATGTGACGCAGGCGCATGAAATCGCACGAAATCCCATAGAGTCGTTCAATTCCCATGAAATCTTAGTCGTCTAAATCCCACTAAATCACATCAATGATCCAATTTCGACCCACTTGAATCTCTCTGCCGTACTAAGCCACCGGGCGAGACCTTCTCCCACAACCAGGAACAAGTCCGTGACTGGCACGAAGGACCTCGCAGGGGTCATGCCACGTTTGGGACCCCAGCAAATTCTCATAAAAGTCCATTAAAAAGACGCATGAAATATCGAAGTCGATGAGTTTCTGAATTATCCTCTTTTTTTGGGGTGGAATGTGATACTACACTTGAAACCACCAGAAGTGAATTGCAGAGTCTATCTCACACCTTGTATGCATTTTGGTTTGGAGGTTTTGACTCTATAGAATGGAGGTTGACTATCCAAAAGTAGCACAGCAACGTCACACACGTAGACCCAAGCTCTCAATGTCGGTAATGACCACCAGGAAGAATCTCCAGTGGATTAAATTAGTAATCAGACCATGGCAACGGAAAATCACATATATAATGTGTATAATATATATATATATATGTCCATCGAAACCTCCATAAAATTTATAGGGGATTTCCCGTTACATTGTTTGATATTGTTTGATTACCACAGGGTATGCCTTATTTGACTTTCATGGTCTTCGTCTCCCTCCCACAGGGCCAAGTCGTGCAGACCTAACCTTACAAGGACAATGATGGTCCTCTTGATTTCGGGGATGGCCATAGGCCATAGTTCCATTTGGGGAAAGATTTTGGGGTCCAAAATTGGATGCTATATGCCCACTCATTGCAAGAAGAAAAACAAGTCACAGAGTTCAAATGCCAGCTCAGAAAGAGGGATCATCAAATTCCGAATCGTTTTACCCCAACTTCAGGTGTTTAAATCCACATTGTTTTGTTCCTATATGGGGGTTTCCATAAATGGGGGATCCCCAATAGCTGGATGGTTTATTTCATGGGAAATCACATCTAAATGGATGATGACTGGGGGTACCCCTATGACTTAGGAAACCTCCATCTGAGGCATCCGCACCATTCAGCTGGAGTGGCCATCGGCTCCAAACCGCGACTTCGACCGGACTCCTACCATAGCATTGAAACCCAATAGGGGATCCCCCATGACGAAACCTCCAAATGCTGGCAGCCACAAGTTACCAATATATATATATCATATCCTATTGTATATGCAAATCATCCGCAAGAATGTCCCAAGAAATGCTTCACTTTTTTGTTTGCTCATGTTTTCTCTGTTCCACCAAACAAAACCTGGCTTGGATTGCTCGGAATTTGACATCTTGTCATCAGTGGTGTCCAAATTCAGCCCTGTCCCAAAATCGGATCCTTACCGTCCCATCCAAAGGTCTTGGAATTTTGATGATCAGCTCCTGAAAGAAGTGGTGGCTTTCACGAAGTTGATGTATCGAATTGGGGTCAGAATCAGATTCTCAAATTCTCCTAAAAAAAGGACATTGCAATGGAAATTGCAATGGACATGCTATAAAACTACTAGATTGGACTAGATTGGGATGGAATGGTCAAGCTGAACTCCGAAACTCAAGGGCAAAAGTCATCAACTTTGGGACACAAACTTGGGAGATTATGACTATCTCCCCGAGTATATTATATAACCATCAAATCAGCATCTGAGTCAAGACCTGCCATCTTTCAGTTAATATTCAAAACATGTCAAAACCATGAGCAGAATACTTGACAGAGGGATGTCCGGATTGGGGTTTACAATGGTTTACATAGCCCACAGTCGCTGTTCAGCCAACCAGGCAGACAAGTAGCTGAACAGGCCCAGGTAGCGATTGATTTCGGTGTGCTCCGCCCACGAGACAATGTCCTGCGGAACGTTGTCAAACCGCCGCTTGGGTAGTTCGGGTAGTTTGGATGTTGAAATCATCTGAAGTTTTACAGTCTGGAGGTTTGATGTATTTATCTACTCAACATGCCCGATTTGGCAGGATATCGATTCTGCACCCCTGCAATCATGCCAATCATTCACCATCTTGCGGAGGTCCTTCCACAGCAGCAAGCCAAGCTTTCTGACCTGGTACAGGTTGGTCCACTGTCGTCAATGGCCGCTGAATGTGTACATTATATGATATATTAACATATTGTGAACACATATGAGCAAAGTATACTGGATACAATGCATATTATGATTGTTACACTAGTATTCATTATCAGTGCTATTGTTATTACAAGTAAGTATATTAATTATCTCATATATATATATTATAATCTAGTTGCAACATGTTCTACATAATGAAGCAACATAGCGGGATATAGGCCCACAATGGCCCACAAATTCCTTGAAGCACACTTAAATCACCCAAACCAGATCTGAGGCTGCGCTGAAATGGCCTGCCTCCGTATCTGTTAAAGGCACTGCAGCATCCTTAGGAAAACCCAGGTTTCACAGCGGCTTCCAGTAGGATCAAACAACATAAATGTCCATCAATGTCCATCAAATTTGCAACGTGGCACTAATTTCAACATGGTTTCACCATGTGTCACCTATCCAGAAACTTACTGGTCATGGCTCAAGACTTCAGGATACTTCAGGACTTCCACTTTTGGGCGACAGAAAGGGACGTTACTTTCACCCACAACAGATTACAATCCCCCATTTATCTTTGCAGACATCGAGGTCAACAAAAAAAACAAATTGAAAACATGTTATAAACAGCACTCGACTACTTACATGGTTGACGACGTCCTGAGTCCAGTCCCGGGGCATGAACTTTAGTTATTCTTATAGTTATTCTTAGTTTATCTCCAATTGTTATTAGAGACCTAAAAAAGATACCCGCAGAACCGCGCAAATTCAAGGTTAACCTCAAATGCGCCGAAAGATATGTAGTCTTAACATGTCTTAACTTTGGACCAAACAAGTTACCGGTTTTCACAGGATATGACATGTTCCTTGCTCGTCCTCCAAAAATGGCAACATTACCTGTTCACCATTCAAATCCTGATACACTAGCTTTGTCTCAAATAAACATTCTCGCGGGGTATCCCCCAAAAGCCTCATGTGGGTCTCTCTAAAAATAGGCTAACCCCCCATATTCGAATGGATTCTTATCCTTTTCCCTTTCAAAAAATGGCAACAGTAATCTACGGTATTTGGGGGTACCCTCCGGTAATTTAACATAACTATGGAAAATCACCATTTTTAATGGGAAAATCCACTATAAATGGCCATTTTCAATAGCTATTTTGACATAACCAGAGGGTATCCCCTGGCAAATCCATGTCTGATCTCCGAGCTTCGAAGCCGCTCGGCAGGATCGCCGCCATGGCTGAGCGCCATTTTCGCGCCCATTTACAAGCGCGGTAGCCCGAGGGGTGTGCCTCAATGGAGGGACACCCAGACCAACATCATCTGTGTAAGCCAGAACAAGTGGTCTATCATGCGTCTCATGATTCATCAAGCCCCCGAAAGAACTGGCATGAACTGGCGCCCAAATTTTGATATGACAAATCAATACAAATCACAGAAACATTGCTAGACAATCTGCCGCAAGCCGAATTCCGAATCCATTGACAGTGTCCTCTTTTGGGGATTGCAGCCCTCATCAATGGTGCAGCTTGTTGCTGAGAAGATGAGCACAATTACATGGATCAAACATGAACATCGTCAAACAGTTCGTCAAACTTCATGATCTGTCAGCCAGATTCATCCAGGTGTTGTGGCTATTTTACCATTGACGCAACTGGGAATATGTGAGTTGGCTGGTTGAACCCCTGGAAAAAAACATGCACGTATACTCCCATGACATTTCACGTAGAACCTAAGACTATTGATTCGTTGTTCGAGGACACCCATAAGCCCATTCTCAGAGGCCCCATGTTCAAGCTTCCATCTGAAACGGGTAACCTCTGGTAATTTAACATAGCTATTGAAAATCACAATTTTTAATGGGAAAATCCACTATTAATGGTCATTTTCAATAGCTATGTTAAATTACCAGAGGGTAACTCACTATTTGGCAAAAGCAATCGTCTAAGACATGTCAATCTGCTGTCCCTTGGACCGACAAACAGGGCAGCTATGCCGCAAAAAAAAGCCTCTTGAGTGGTCATGTTGTTCCATCATTTCTGAAAATTCGCGTTCCTGTATTATTGGTTGTTCTTCCTCTTACACAGTCTTACACCCCATGTTTGCTTGTTAAAATGCACCTGTTGTTGTTTAAACATGTTTAAACATGTTTAAACCCAATTTTCTGAGGAGCCTTGCACGTTTCAACGCAACTCGGCCAAGTCACAGAAATGACCTCCCTTGGATCTCGACCCACTTCCTCTGGGGGTTGCTCCTTCCGCTTCAGGCTACAGTACCGACCAAGATTGGCAAATTGTTGGTAATGGTTCCCTTGTACTAAGCCTTACTAAGCACATGAAACAAGAAACGTCTGCATGAATGCCATTTAAGCCATTGATCATTCCATGTACAAATATGTACAATGGACCACGCAACAACTTTTATTTAATATACAGATCTACATCGACATGATGTCACCTTGAAGACAATTAAGATCCGGAAGGCTAAGACATCCTGGTGACATTGCAGGTGATTCCCCTCAAAATCACCTGGTGATCCCAAAACAAATTTGTGTGCTACTTGGAGATCCTCATCTTCCCAATTTTAGTGATCAACGCCCACCATGGCCAACCTGACAAGAGCGGAAAAACCTCGATGTGTTTCACATTCCTCCCTTCACCTCCAACATCAATTCACCCTGAAAAGTTCGCACATTTGGGGATGCCAGCATGATGCTCAAATTTGTCATATTATTATGATATATTATGATAGTGATACTATGGGTATATGATGGGTTTTGATTAACATTGGTTAACTAGCTTAACTAGCTTAACTAGCTCACCAGCAGCCAGATCTAACCTGCGGCTCCAGCGCTCCTCCGTGGCCTTTTGTGGTTTGGGTCCATCATCTTCGCTGGTCGTCCAGCGGGACTGAGTCGGTGCCGATGACGACCACAAATTCGAGGTCAAAAATAGACATCGATAGACATCCGCTTATTCGAAATTGTTCAATATGTTAAGTCAAATATGGTTGAATGTTAAATGTTGTTAACTACTGTTGACTATTGTTATATATAACTTATATAACTATATTCGTAAATATTGGTCATTTAACTGAATTATTAATGGTTTGCATTAAACAACCCGCAAAATTTGTTAAAATCTATGGATTCCTGGATGCTTCTGCTTTCATGGATGTAAACTCTCTTCATGGAGGTTTCTGACACTGCTCACATCTGCTTGCACGATTATCTGCACTACAGCTACGTGATACGACGTGCGGTCGATCATAGTATCTTCGCCTGGGGTGGAAAGCCACAAGCACGCGGCCCACTAAGAGGCGCAACCCCCCATGTGCAACCACCACGAAAGACGAGGAAATCAAGACGGCCTCCCCTCCAGCAGTGGCAAGCGCGAAGACCGCTTTAAGAAGACGCCAGATGGGTGTCTGCTCAAACAGCTATCAGCACGAGGAGCCCAAGGAGCACTTTAGCGCATCGTCTCCTTGTCATCCACTGAGCATAAGTAGTGGGTTGGCCTCAAACTCCCAGCTCGATACCAGCACCATGCTTGTACGAAGCTATGCTTCGTACGAAGCGATGGTATGGAACTTGCCCAAGCGCCCCACACCCGGCCAACGGTGTGCAAGGTGTCCAAATCAGCTATGCTCGGACACCCTTTGGGTAAGGCGCATGTTCAAATCAAGATGACCGAAACCATGGTGCGAAATCCGGGCCGCCCAAGTTGCTCAAGCCATGCAACAGGACCTGCAACATCCTGCTACTATGGCCATAGATGGCCATAGATGGCCATAGGGCCGCAAATTGAGTTGATAAAGCCTTCAAGACGGGATGTGGGATGCCTTATCAGGTCTTGCAGCAATCAAGCATCCTTTGCAACAAGACATATCAGACGTATCTGTAGTTTTCCGCAACATATTTAGCTTCGACCAACATCAAAGGAAGTGTACTCAAACAGATAAGCCATGGGATAATATTTAGATTGTCAGAGGGACCCGCGGAAACGAGCTTCTGTGCATTTAGAATTCTTCCACTACATGACACTGCCACCCTTTGACAAGGAAGCGCTATGCATGGCGCGTGCCATGAAAATCCTGGACCAAACATTAGATCAGAGACCGCCTACTTCAGCACTCTGAGAAGCACGGTATTTGCAACAAACAGCCGCCCGCACAGGGAGCCCAAGATGCACTTTAGCGCATCGTCTCCTTGTCATCCACTGATCATAAATACCAATAAGTGGGAACCCTGCGCAAGAGACGTGTTTGGACAGTTTCAACATGTTCCAACATGACCTAATGCTATCGATTATGCAATACATACTCAAGGTATCATTGTAGTACCTGAGTGTAGTTGCCCAGATCAAGCCCCAAATCTTCGTTCAAACGTGTTGATGTGTCCTTGTCAAAACATTCCTGATTGGTGATGATTGTCATGCCAATTCCATGCATTTCCAAGGGAAAATTGATGGGGCAACTATGGACCAAATCGGACATTTTAAGTATCTTCCCATTGTACCTTCCCAGTGGGGGGACCAGTAACTCTGACCCAAATTTGACCTGTCAACAAGATGTCAACAAGATCGATAACACATCAAAAGCCATCAACCAGAAATATTTATAGGATTCATTTAGTGTATAAATACTGGTTGGTGGTTTCAACCCATCTGAAAAATATGAAAGTCAATGGGAAGGATTATCCCATATATTCTGGAAAAAAAAATGTTCCAAACCACCAACCAGAGTGTATGAATATCTCAGCATATCTCAATCTCTCCCAAGATCCATGGCACATCCCTGAGGACACTACATCCCAGGCCAAATCACGTTTTCGCTCACGCTCCTCGAGTGAAAAAAGCACCCTCTAGAGTAATCCATGGCTGGAAAATCCATGGATTTATAGAATATCGACTTAGTATTTTCCTATATGGTCTCCTATAGATATATGTTCCTATTTAAAACCTCCATGGCTAGTTCGGGGACCCAGCGAGCCACGTTTGATGACACTGAAGGGTAATTTGACTCACATTGGTAAAGAACACATGGCGCATCCAGGACCCTTCTGAACACTTTTGGGGATCATATTCTCCATCGCTTTCGGGTGCGGCAAGCTTCAACTCGGCTGAAAAGTCCCATGCATACTCCATTCCCTCCGGTCATGGTAACATAGCTGTGGAACATATATTTTTTAAATAGATGACCTATATTGACCTATTGGAAAATGGTGATTTTATGGTGATTTTCCATATCCAATTTTCAACTCCCAGACGGATCCGGTATGTCAAACCATCCCTGAGGCTTCCAACAGCCATTGGTCCCCTGCCCCGACCTTGAGGATTGGCAGGGCACAGTTCAATGTGGGCATAGCATGGCACATTTACAGGTTTTTCCAATAACCCTACCCATATGCTCCATGTATGGTATATTTACCTACATTTGGGTGATTTTTAGGGCAAATGTTGGTAAATATTCCATACATGGAGCATATGGGCTATAAAACCATCGAAAACCCTATACTTATCGGATTTCCATCGGATTTCAATCGGGTTTCCATCGGGTTTCCATCGGGTTTCCTTGGTTTTCATTGGACTTTCAAGGGTTGCGGAGCAAGTCCTGAAATTTCAAAGCGTTGAGACAGGCAAAACAAACATCACCGGATATCAAAGGGACCATGACACAGTGTGACAGACCTTGACTATAGTGACTATACATGCAATATCATGCAATTTTCTTCAATTCAGTAACCAACTGTGACATACCCAGACTTGCCAGGTCCAAGATCACTCAATTGCAATTCCTTTATATAGTGAACAGAGTATCAATGGTAGTTCAAATGGTTCGGTATCGTTTAGGTGTTAGGGAAAGGTTGTTGGAACATGTCAGAAATCTATCCTTCGTTAAGTATGCAGTGTTGGCATACTTATAGATGTGAATTGTCCAATTAGTGCTCAGCAACTTTCCCATTCTGTAAGTGCATTTAAAGCACCAACTTGTGATCGACAGGGAACGTTACAATCAATTCTCTACTGTCAGGGGATCCCGCGACCACACATCAAGAAAAGAACGAGTCGAAACTGCTGGTGAACCCCCAACTCTCCATTGGTTCTCAACAATTTTCGATGCTATTAGGGATTCCCATTCCACAGCACTCCCGAAACAACCGGTGAATTACATATCTCGCTGTGTCAGTGTTCTTCAGAATCCGGAAGTCATGCTACTAATATACCAACATATACTCACCACAGCAGCCACAGCAATATATTCGATCGCGGGATCTGAGCCGTCGGCTGCCGATGGGGTTCTTTTCATACCAATTGGTATCTTCTCGGTGACGTCGCCCGTCATCGAGCTGCAGCAAGTTTTCGACATTTACGGATGGGTTACCCTATGGTAATTTAACATAGCTATTGAAAATGGTCATTGATAGTGGATTTACCCAGTAAAAATAGTGATTTTCCATAGCTATGTTAGTTTACCAGATATTAAATAACTGGATGGGTGTACGCACCAATTTACAATTGGAAGGTATCTGTGCACATGCTCCTCATCACCATCACCGTCAAGGAGCGAAGGGATTAGATCCAATCAATTCATATGTTAAGTCACTTAAATCCCATTATATCCCACTAGCTCCCTTATTTTCGTTGGCGAAATCCGCAGAAAATCACCCTAAACAGCACATGAGGGTTTCCAAAAATAGGGGTACCCCTAAATCATCTATTTATATGGATTTTCCACTATAAACCATCCATTTTGATCCATTTTGGGGTACCCCCCATTTATGGAAACCCTCACATGTCTCTACTTGTCCCGGCCTCGTAGGTCCCATCTTCCCGTTTGTTGCCACGGCCCCGGTCACGGTCGCGGCGGCGTCGGCTGCGGCTGCGACTCCTGTGATTTTCGCGACTTGGGAGTTGGACCCAAAAGGAAGTGAACTAATGTGGGTAAGACAATAATAAACCATCCCCCAGTCATCACCATTTTTATAGGTGGTATAAACATTTTTTTGAACCATTCCCAAATGGCTGGTTGATTATTGCTTTAACCACATTAGTATTCCTACAGCAGTAATTGATGGTAAATACTGGTAGTATCACTTGGTAAATACTAGTATTTTTGTATTACTAGTGAGACTCGTATTGATGTGCTTCGTTGAAACTGAGATGTGAACCCACCAAACTGGTAAACTGGTGGAAATGTGGAAAATATAACCTCAATACTAAAAGGTTAAACCATGTTAAACCCATCTAAACCCAAAGATAAATATGGTGGTTTTGGAGCATTCCCCTGACTAAGGATGACTAAGAATGATGGTGGTTCTACTGGGTGCTCTCTAATGGGGGTATGAGGATATAACCTGATATAATATCATTTCACCCAAAACAAATCGGTACTAAAAAACATGGCGAAAGGCAACAGGGAAATCAAGTTAAAATACGTTAGAGCAATTTCAACCATAATTGACATTTTGTTCCCAACAATTAAAATTGCGGGACTTTCGCCCCACCAAGAAATCGAGGTATTTAGCCAACAATTTTTGGGCTATGAAACCACCTAAACAACATTGAGATGATCTTAAATGGACATGTGCAGGCAGGCTGGCGTGGGAAATTGAACCAAAAAAAACAGGGAATTTTTAAAAGGTAAGATAGGGTACCCATGATCATCCCAGTCAGCTCCAAATGTTGTCCTGCTCCTCTTTCTGCTTTTGCTCCTGACGGGAGCTGACAGTGAAATGTTTGCCAAGCAAAGGGAGTTCCCTTCATGGTCTATCGATGGTTGTCATTCATGGTGGTACATACCTTCATGGTTAATCACCTTCAGTTGTGATTTGTGGGAGTTGAATTGGTGATACCCTGAGGCAATTCAACATAACTTGACATAGCAAGGGAGCATTGTCCATTTATAGCTGATTTGTCTATCAATCATTTCACAAACCATTAAGTCACTAGGGGCATTTATTTAGTCATTGTATACATGGCAGCCCACAAAACAAATGACCGCGTCCTCATACAAATATAGAATTACACATAGACATACAGCATACATAATACATATATATATATATTATGTAATTTAATTTATATATAGCATTTGTATTTGCACATACGTATATTTACCATTTGTAGTTTTAGAGACTATTTATCTTTACCCAGATGCCCTACCCTAGATACCTACCATAGATTTACCCAACGTTCACCCTGCGTCCTCTTCGTTTCTTCCACCGGCTCCTGCGTCTGTTGGAAGTCCCCAAAAATGGCGGACATGTGGATTTAACCAAAAAAATGGTGATTTTAATAATTATTTAATGGGATTTAGTGGGATTCAATGGGAACTTAACTATCAATTTTTCATATTAAACATACCCCTAGAAACCATGGTAGAAACTGACACCACTATGAATCGACCCACAATGCCTGAATATCCAGCAACCACTAGTGTACTTAGCACCTTCCCATCTAACACACACCATGCTCCATTGAAAACCACTCCGCAAAGAAATGGACCCTTGACATCTACTGAATCCCCAATGGGATGACTGCCTGGAAAGGCTTTGGTTTCTAATTATATAAGCCCATAAAACAAACCATAAAAATATAGCCACCATAAGTTCTATATCCACCATAGTTCCAATCCTGTGCTTAGTTATAGATCAACTTTTTTTGTGTAGTTATGTCCACCATGAATTATAAATTCATTCATGTGGTAAACCCAATGCCGTAAACCATCCCCAAATGGTAGGTTTCCTGTGGTGCTGCCACCAGCGGTTCGCCAGTGGTGTCCCAAACTCGCGTGTGGATGGCCTGTCAAGTTGGCGACTTCGACGTGACTTGGTGGAGATCATGTTGATATCATTACTGGGTATGTCATTAGATAATCAACATTTATTTATGTGACAACTTAAATGTGACAATCCAATGGTTTCACAGGATAATCTACAGGATATCATGTTGGTCACCTTTGAATATGGGGACTGTGGTGGTTTCTCAATGTGGCCCTCTGCCTGCCGAAGTTCGCGCCAGAGCCCCATCTCAGGAAAGGTCTGCATGATCTTCGGCCAGCCTGGATTTGCTCCACAAAAAGTGGGTTATCATCAGAAAATCATGCCATTGTTAATATTGTTAGGGGTATATATATATATACCTGATAGTCATTATCCTAGCAGAATACCTGAGAGTAACTTAGTAGACCCCAATTCAAGATGGTTTACTATGTAGTTTACCTCTTTAATTACCTGTCTTAAGGATTGTTTTGGATGTATCTGAGACCGTCTCACAGGGACAGCATTTGAGCAACATGGGCTGATTTTTGTTCAGTGCTTCTGGCGTAAACCCGCCTCCACGTTGATAATGTTGATACATACTTGGGGGTCCAGTTCCGTTATAACAAGTGGTTATACAATGTTATATACCCAAAGTTGTAGGGGTTATATCTCAACATATCTCAACTTATGGGGTATACCCATAAAAATCACCCCACTCCTGCCCCAACAATTATGCTAAGCCGAAGGCTGCCGCGGACGCAATCGTTGAACCGCTTTGCCTGCAAGCCCCGGATGGGGTTAGAAATGGGGTTATACAAATGGCAAATGATTCGGTGATGGTTAAAATATGGTTGTTAATCCTAGCTTACAAATAATCAGTAACTCTTATTCTTGGCAAATTATAGATTATTATAGATTATTACTGTAGAGGGTAGGATTGTGATATGGTGGTCACTTTTGTTAGTTAACGGTTGTCATTGATCGTTGATACATGTTGATACTGGTTACAGAATGTTATAGATGATCATATTATATGTGATTCTTACTGGTTATATAATGGTTATCAATGGTTATAATCATTCAGACATTCGAGTCTGGTCCTCCCAAGACTGGGTCATGCCGTATCATGAAAGGATGATTCCGACCCCTCGGAGCCAAACGCTTCTAGAGGCTGGTTGTGGAGAAATGTTGTAAGTCGTAAGTCATGATATGATTGTACTTATATATATATATACATATATATGTAAAATATGTTGGGGGGAAAACCGTGCGTTTCACCTGGCTGTTAGTCGTATGTCTTATGTTTTTTTCTTTATCCAGCATGGCAATCCTCCAAACAAAATGGGTCCCCAATGGTCCCCATTAAATGGGAACCCCCAGCCATATCACCAGGTGTTTTTTTTTACATGGTTGTTATATGGTTTTGTCTGAAAATAGGCTACCCTATTTATACATTCATAAATCATTTATTATACCAAGTTAATCAAAGTTGCCATGAATTGGGGGAACGCCCCGATGTTCAAACGCATATATTGCCATTGAGAGTTGGTGATTTACCCATGTCATCCTCATTTTCCAGTTGGTCCCTATGGTTTATGTATGTATATTATATGTATCTTTTAGAAACTGTATAGGTGTCTACACAATATTCGATTGTATGTTCTTAGAATTAAATATAGTAAATAACATGTTCCCAGTTATGTTGTAGTATAGATTAGTCATCAAACCATTTAGTATTGAAACCCATGGTGACGTGGGGATCCCCATAACTTAAGAACCCTCCGTATATATATATATATAATATGGAAATATAGTGGAATGTATATATATATATTACAGTATATACACAGTCCATTACATTCCCATAAACCACCTGTTGTATAGATCTACTCACCGCACGGCGCCTCAGCCATCGCAGCCCTGTTGAGGAGGCACAAGAACTGCGCGCGGAAACATTTCGGCGCCTGGGCGGGAGATTTGTCGATCTCGGCCTTCAAAATCCTCAACGTTCGGGGGATCACAATGGGTAAACCAAAACAAACATGGCACATATGGGTTGATATGGGTTGATCATTGAGCCGTGTTTTGTTTTGATTATTTTGGATGCGTATAAAAACGGAACTGCGCAGAGAGGCTACGCAAGACGCAGACTGCACAGGTAGGCTACAAGAGCATGGTTCTAAAAAATCCATTCAGGGTACCTACGCACAGACTACGCGAAGGCTACGCAGGGCTATGCCCACCACACTTTTTGCCTACGCGGACGCAGGTGCAGTCTAAAACAACGCAGTTCTATTGGATATAATGGGATATAGATAAATTGGATATTGGTTTTTAAGACCAACAATTTGAATATTGGGGATGACATGGAAAAATCGCCAACTATCATTTGGGATATAGTGATATTCAACCCTAGTTTCAGACAAATCATTATTTTTCTCGAAATAATTCTATGCAACTTTATCGTATCACATTTTATAACATTATATATATATAACTATCATTTTACACCAATGATTAGTATTTCATAAGATCTCCAATTTGCGTTGGGAACTCGGATGGAAAGATCTTGTCTCCTGAGTTCCCAACGCAATCATACGCGGTCCTGATGGGCACCTCAGGGCAGAGAAGCCGAGTCTCGTCTTATACAATGTATATGTGTATATACACAATGGCTATTTCATAATGGCTGATATATACACATATATATATATACTATTATATATGTATTATTATATATATATGTTATATCATGTATATATATATAGTTAAATACTATATCACAGGTGTGTATATATATATGTGATATTATCCTATCATACATATCAAATAATATTATATAATATTATCTATATCATTATATTCTATTATATTATATCATATTATATTATATTATTATATATTATATTATATTAAACTATATTATATTATATTAAACTATATTATATTATATTATATATTATAATATTATATTAAATAATATATATATAATTAAATTATATTATATTATATAATATAATATTATATTATACCACATTATATTATAGTAAATTATTTTTTTTTTTTTTAAAAAAAAAAAAAACTATTATATTATACATTATATATTATATAATATAAATTATATATTAAATATTATATATTATATTATATATTAAATACAAATATATTATATTATATTATATTATATTATATTATATTATATATTCTATTATATTATATTATATATTATATTATATTATATATTATATTATATTATATTATATATTATATTATATTATATTATATTATATATTATATTATATTATATATTATATTATATTATATTATATTATATTATATGATGGTTGTTTATATTATGTATATATATATATATTGGCTATTTTAGAATGGGAGACACATATAGGATTTCATGGAAATATCATGGGAGATTCTCAATCAAAAACTCATTGGACTTGAAGGGAACATTGAATCAGGAAATCGCTATCAAACGCTGGTTGGTGGTTTTAACCATCTTGAAAAATATTAGTCAATGGGAAGGATTATCCCATATATTCTGGAAAATAAAAAATGTTTGAAACCACCAACCAGAACGATAGTAAAAGCCCAATGACTCTTCCAATCTTCAGTTCTCCCAATGACTTGAGGCGCCACGGTCTGCCCCTTGTGGCCCCTGGCGCTTGCATATAGATCCAGCAAGTGCGTCTTCTCAAACCTGGAGGAATGTTACCCCAAGATCGAACAGTCGAAACCAACAAGGAAATCCTGTCAAACTAAGTTGAGTCCTCAATGTTGTTCAATGTTGATTCAGCGTCCAGCGGATGGCAACAAGGAAGTGCAGTGGTTCACATCTATCAAATGATATGTATATATATATAAATATATATATATATGTAACATAACATAATGTGTATATATATATACACCACGTATATTGACCGATGTGTATATATAATTACACATTATAGTGACATGCCAAACACAAGTGATTTGTACTACAGCTACACATCATATCCATGAAAAAAAACACATGCGACATGCGACTTCTATCCTTTGATCACCTTCAAAACTTCCCGAACAGCGCACCATTCGGACATCAGCGTCTGCATGTGACAGCTGTAGAACATCCGAGAGGAGCGCCTTAGCTATGGTCGTTTCATGGTGTATGACGTACCTTAGCCTTGTCCTTTCTTCTATCCTTCTGGACTGTTGCTGGGCATGCGGATAAACCAGTCAAAGTCTTGCAAGCCTTGCAAGCCTTGCATTGCAGTAGGACATGATTATATATGATTATATCATCACCACCACCATGCATCAGAAGCAGCAACATATCGTTACCACGAGCATTTGACTGCACCAAGGTCTGATTGTAGATGATGGAGTCTGGAGCGCCTTGTTTCTTGCCTTTACGTTCTGGAGCGCCTCTAAGACAACCATGGATTTCATCACATCCCCCTTAGGTTTCCACATCCAGTTAATTGATCCAATCTACCCCCAACAAGAGCATCCCTACAGCAGCGCAGGAATTCTCAAATAGTTCCACCCCCATCTGTAGTCCCAGTGCCAAGCCGCTGAAACTTGATCTGGGCCCTGGCCTGCCATGTGGTTCTCACAAGGACCAATGGGATTTATAGCCCTTCAAAAACACATGGACCATATGGGTTTTTAATGGAATATTTAATCGGATATAAATTATGAAAGGGGATATGTTTAATGGGATATATTCAAGGGAACGCACGTATCTTATGAGTTATATTCATGGGATATAATGGGATATAATGGGATATGATATAATGGTACAGCATGGGACATGAATGTGATGACACGGGGAAGTCACCCTCCAAATTGACAACACGTTACTAGGTGAAATATCGTGAAATGATGATAAACCATCATTTTTTGAATCAATGTTTGGTGTAACCTACTTTCAGACAAATCCATTTCAATGTTCTCGTTCTTCTCATAGTTCCCCACCTGCCAGGTGAGGGTTGTTAGATTTTATCAGAGCTGTTCTCCTCCTCCTCCTCCTCCTCGGCTAGCTGTCCTCCTCCTCCTCCTCCTCGTCCTCCTCCTCCTCCCCCTCTAGTTTCTCCTCGACCATGTCTGCATCAACTTCCACCTCCACTTCCGCCTTTGCCAACTCTCTTCGCCAAGCTCTTTGCCAACTTCCCAGCTCACTGTCACTGGGGCCTCAACCTGGGACCTGCCCAGCTCAGTGTGCACCGCTGGACCTCAAGCTCAATGTGCACCGCTGGACCTCAACCAGGGACCGTCTCAGCTCAGTGTGCACCGCTGGACCTCAACCTGGGACCTGCCCAGCCCAGTGTGCACCGCTGGACCTCAACCTGGGATTTGCCCAGCGCAGTGTGTATCGCTGGACCTCAACCGGGGACCTCCCCAGCTCAGTGTGCACTGCTGGACCTCAACGGCGGATAGAATGCCAGAAGATATGCCAGATAGAATGCCAGAAGATATGCCAGATAGAATGCGAGAAGGTATGCCAAATAGAATGCCAGATAAAATGTCAGATAGACTGCCACAAGATATGCCAGATAGAATCCCAGAAGATTTGCCAGATAATATGCCAGAAGATATGCCAGATAGAATGCCAGATAGAATGCCAGAAGATATGCCAGAAGATATGCCAGAACATCTGCCAGAAGATATGCCAGAAGACATGCCAGAAGATATACCAGAATATATGCCAGAAGATATGCCAGATAGAATGCCGGATCGAATGCCAGAAGATATGTCAGATAGAATGCCAGAAGATTTGCCAGTAACAAATCGATAAAAGTCATGGTGGGGATCTCTCGAAGTAAAGTATTTTTTTCATGAATGACAAAGACATCATAATTGCAGCAATTGCATTACTAGTGACTTTCCAGTGATTACCACTACCATCCAGCACATTGACATGGTAGAAATCTGCACATCTTCAAGAGATGAGTCTTCCAGAAAAACGTGCGAGTCGTTGCCATGCCATTGCCATGTCAAGTTGCAGGGTAATTCTGTACCATAGTAGTAATATATTATACCCTCTGGTAAACTAACATAACGATGGAAAATCACCATGTTCAATGGGAAAATCCACTATAAATGGTCATTTTCAATAGCTATGTTAGATTACCACAGGGTATACCCTCTGGTGATCAATGGTCAATTATGGCAATGGAACATGTCCTATCAATAGATGATGTTAAAAAAAAATAAACCTCCATGTAAAAAAAAGGATTTCCCCTTGCCAGGTTTGATGACCAAATGGTGGCTGGTTGACTGATTGTAGAGCTTCAAGTAAACGATATCATTGACATAGCAATGGACAATTCAACAATGAAGTAGATGATTTTGCTGTTCCAAATGGTGATTCTTCATTGCCATCTTCGACTACGTAGTAGGGTATAAGAGTGTGTGACACGGTTTGGACTAGGGCACCCCTAAAACCCATTGTTTATCATAATTTTCCACTATGAAATTGCCATAATTGGGGGGCATACCCGATGCATTCGATTTTCAGACAAAGCCATGTTCACTATTCATAATAGTTAAATCATGAATCAAAACAATAATTAATACCCTCTGGTAATTTAACATAGCTATTGAAAATGGCCATTTATAGTGGATTTTCCTATAAAAAATAGTGATTTTCCATAGTTATGTTAAATTACCAGAGGGTAATTATTGTTGCACCACTTCAATCGTTCCAAAATCCTTTTGTTGTTGCGCCACCTTCGTCCCCATTTTGATGGTTTTCCCTCCATCCTCCATTTTTGATAGTTGGCAGTGTGTCAAAACCTTGTACCCCTGGTGAACATCAAAATAGCTGGTAAATGGATGTTCATCCCCCTAAAAATGGTATTAATAGGTATTGATCCATACCCAGTTGATTAAGACTTGTCAAGCCCGTTTCTGAATCCGCTTCGCCTGTGCCACGTGAGACACTTCTCCCTCTGTCACGATACCGCAAACAGCGCCTGCATTGCGGGTAGACGCTCCAACATGGAGACTTAACTATAGGCAAAATGGGGATATAATGGAGATTTAACCAACCTAATGGTGATTTAATGAAGATTAAAATTGGATGTCCCAACTTGAATTTATCCCCCAACCATCAAACAACCAAACAATATGATGGTGTGTCTGAAAAATGGGGTCAAACACCGTCAAACCCATAGACTCCAAAACCCAATGGCCATCACCAACCGTCCGTTTGCCGTGTCTGAGCTGGGCACAAAGAAGTCTACAGGCTTCTGCAAACAAAGCCTCCGCCAGCTGGAGCTTCCATAATGCGAAATTGAGACAATGGCTGTATATACGTATTAATTAATGTTGTCTAGCCAATAGTGATATCTTGTCAATAGTAGAAACATTTTTCCGCAACTCCAATTTTTCTCCAATACTAAAAGTCAATTAACTCCATTTACTTTTAGTATTGCCAAAAGAGTCATGTTCAGACCTTGTCCAGAGGGCATGGCCAATAGTGGACCCAACATGGCAATAGTGGAAACTTTTTTCCCAACTCCAATTTTTTCTCCAATACTAAAAGTCAATTAGCTCCATTTACTTTTAGTGTTGCCAAAAGAGTCAAGTAAAGCAAATCCTTTTCAAAGCAGCCTTCACTTTTGATTAGCAAAAGCTTAGATTCCAGAAATCTGATCCAATTACCAAACAGCTGATTTCCTTATAAAACCCTAATTAAAAAAAGCAAGAAAACAGGTCCACAAAGGGTACCCCCTTTGCAAGCCCCAGGATAGCAATAACAAACCTGCACCAGGCATGGCAATAGTGGAAACTTTTTTCCGCAACTCTAATTTTGTTTTCCTCCTTCTCCTTCTCCTTCTTCTCCTTCTTCTCCTCCTCCTCCTCCTCGTCCTCCTCCTTCGCCTCCACCACCTCTGCCCCCACTTCCATGATCCCAGCTATAAGGTTCCAAAACAATACTATTACTATGGAAACCAAACCAAATCCATACAGAATCTAACAGAAACCAACCCTAATCCATGCAGAACCTATGCAGAACATCTCAGAAATCCAACCAAACCCTATGCAGAATCTAACAGAAACCCAACAAAACCATGGAGAATCTATCAGATACATAATATCATGATCCCAGCTATAGATTCCCAAAAAATATTATAGGAAGGTTGACCCCTCCCCCCCGCAAAAAAAAAAAGGGGGGGTAATTACTATTAGGCAGCCAACATTATATATATAACTATAATTGACTATACATATATATATATATATAATTATATATGTTGCTCAGGCTTTTCATGCATTATGCCGTGAACATCCTCTAATCCAACAGTTGATCATCAAGCCAAAGAAATGAAGATAAGACAGCGACTTGCAGCTGCTGCCGAGGGGTTTGAACTCATCGAACGCCGAATCAGTAATTTACAGAAATCATGTCAAACAGGGATCAATTCCCCATATTTGCAATATCTATATACACATAGACGTTCTCCAAGTCTTAAACAGCGTCTTGAATATCAATTTCTACGCTCAGATTCAGATGGCTATGGCTCAAAATTGGGTACCCAAAAAAAAATTGGATGGTTAATGCATGTTAATACAAAAAATAGACTAAGTATGACTAAGTCATCTGTGGTTCCCACAGGTTCTCATTTTTCACCGACCCAAATCCATGGCTTGCCTCCTGTGGTCTCTCCAGCATCATCTCTGTGGCTGTACCACCCATAACGCCGACCTCAGCGTCGAATGTGGCTATCCAGTCAAACGATGGCGATGGAAAATCATGGAAAATCACCGTTGTTTGTTTTTTTTTTAAGAGGTAAAGCACGGTCAATCATCACTTTATCAATTTAATCCGCTTAAATATGTGATTTTCATGGATTTTCCACAGCAAACATCTCAGCTCTTGCATAACTCTCTGATTGGAGTGAGTATCAACCATCAAGAAAACAAAGTAACTGGTTGACTTGAGAGCGGGAGTCAAAAGATGGAAACATAGAAATGGATTCATATCAATTGTCATTCAGAATGGATGGAAGAATAACTTCATCATGGGTGCTTCGTAGTCTCATGGTTAGTGCATGTTGACGCAAAATCTGGCCTTCAAAAGACTTAAGAAGGTTTTGATTTCCAGGATCTCTGGTACTCACATGCTTCGCAGCCGAAGCCTGGTATGGAATAGACCAAGATACACCGCACATGTCATTGTTTTTGTTCTGAAATTCGCCACAAAAAAAAATCATATATTCCAACCATCCTCTACATGTTTGCTCAATTAGATGGTCTCATGGATTTTACTCCTGCACCTGAGCTTTCCGCCTTGACATCGCCTTGACATCGCCTTGACACGTGAGTTCTCCTTTGGGTTCCCCTGCAATGAGCTTCAACGCATTTCGCTGTTCCTGAAGTCCCTGTCGGAGTTCTTCAGAAGCCTGGCGGAGATCCCGGATCTCAGTTGGTGAGACCACCTCCGAAAAAATGGGTGCCAGTGGTACCTGGAAAATGATGGAAATTGCATGGAAATACCTGAAAAAATATGGGACTTCCATGGAATTAGCCAGCACTGCATGGCATTGTTGGGGGAAAGGGATGAAACAATACCATCAGAGATGGTTTTTTTGGAGCTGATCAGTCCCAGTGGCCACCTGCCATCAATGGTCGTTTGATGTCGCTTGGCATCACCATCGGTAAACTGCATGGAAACATGGTCTGACCAATGTGAACTTTGTGAACTTACAACCGAACCATATATATGTTTTATTACCATAATGTATATTATATATATAGTTATTACTATGGTAATCATATTAATATGTTATGGTAATGACATGTAATGACTATTAATTACATTACTACTGGTTGGTGGTATACCTGCTCCTCTGAAAAATGATGGAGTTCGTCAGTTGGGATGATGACATTTCCAACTGAATGGAAAAATAATCCAAATGTTCCAAACCACCAACCATATATTACATTACTATGGGTACTACCATATTATGGTAATGACTATCGTAACCATAGTAATATTATGGTAATTAATGTAATATTACGGCCAGGCGCTGTGTGTTGCCCGGAAGGTTCAAATGGCGTTTAAACATGTCGAACATTATCTTTCAACATGCTCAAACACCTGCGCAGGGCCAGTGTTTTGAGATTTCCCAGACGACGAACCCTAAACCCTAAAACCTGAAACCATCCAAAACCCTAAAACCCCAAACCCTAAAACCCTAAAACCTAGGCTCTGAAACTTTGAATCCTAAACTGGAAAACATTGCGTATACGCAGTATGTTCTGCAATCTCTCCTATCATATATTCGACAGCACGACATTCTCAATATGTTAATGTCTGGGCAACACACGGTTAGACTCTGTGGGTAATATTATGGTAATGACTATATTACTATGGTTGTTGTTACTCTCTGGTAATTTAACATAGCTATTGAAAATGGCCATTTAGTTCGTGGATTTACCCATTGAAAATGGTGATTTAATTTTCCATAGTTATGTATAGCGACGGACTGAAACTTAGAATGCCGCCATGTTTGTTAAGATTTTTAACGGTGCCACTTAGAATGCCTTTTTTTTGGCCTCACTTAGAATGCCTCCATCGCTAAAACATTCAAACCTGCGAGCTGGACTTTTATGAGGCATTCTAAGTGCGCATGATTATCGCCATATTTGGAGACCCTTTCAATATTTTTTTGGTCCAAGGCATTCTAAGTTTCAGTCCGTTGCTATTAGAGATGTAGACTTAAACTCTTGATGGTATATAAAAAAATATTATATAATCCCCTGTTCTGGTGTGAATATGCTAGTTGTTGTCCCCTAAATCGCATTTGTGAGTTTCAGGAGAAAGGAAAGGAGAAAGGAAAGCAGAAAGGAAAGGAGAAAGGAAAGGAGAAAGGAAAGGAGAAAGGAAAGGAGAAAGGAAAGGAGAAAGGACAGGAGAAAGGACAGGAGAAAGGACAGGAGGAAGGAAAGGAGAAAGGAAAGGAGAAAGGAAATGAGAAAGGAAAGGAGAAAGGAAAGGAGAAAGGA